AAAAATCTTTAATTTCCAATGTCCATAACAACGTATCGTTCTAAATAAGCCTTTAAAAAGGTATATGCTACGATTATTCGAAGTAATAAATAATTTATGGTATTCTCAGAAATATTTGACTATATATTTATTAAATATAATAATTTAATTATAATCAACTCAATTTAGTTCAAATTCAAATTTTTGAAAATTTTATCAAAATATTAAGCCAAAAAATGTTTTGGGGATCAATGAGAATCGCCTCCTCGTATAGTGGATCCATGATATCTCTAAATGGTTCCCAAACTATGATTCAATACAAGTAGGTAGAAACAGATTTGTCGGAAACAAAAATCAAGATTTTTGGCAGAAGCGACTGACGCCCCCTCAACCACACAAAACTTCAATATTCTGTTAACACGACCATGGAATGCTATGGGACACCTCAAGTCCTCAAGCGTTACCACATACTATGTCACATCCGTTGGGATATTCTCCACCCAAACATTGCAATTCTCTCGCACTATATGTATGTTCTAAGTACTAAAGCACCAACTAATGTTTTATGATATTATAACTGTAAATTGTAATTATTTTTTTATTATTAGTAATAATGGCAGTAGTTACAATATGTTAAATAATTAATTTTTACCGAAAACATAGCATTTGAAAATATCATTGTGTGTATGAGTACTTATATATTTATATATTTATAATTATATACTCATAATTTACTTTAAAAGTTTAATTATACCCATGAACCCATGAATAATATTTTTAAATTAGATCCAACAAAGTAAATAAAATCGTTATTTTTGTTAGAATATCTAATTTAGTCGACATTTTAACWTAAGATATTTATAAAAAAATAAATTTTTATCAAATCCCCCCTCCCGAAAAACAGGTCTGCAAATAGGTACCTACCTATTATATTGTTCTGTACTATTATATATCTTAGTCCGTGCCTATAATTTAGGGTCGTTCTAAATACAGTCGATTACAGCACCAAAGTGTTATCATTTTTATCTTATCAGTTAACATGTGATAAAAGTAAAATTTTAAAATTAAAATATTAAATCGGCTYAYGTAAAYAATTATGGGAATTTTAACCAATTATCCGTGACACTGAGTTTCATAGTTAACGTCTTATTTGTAAATCAATTGATTTATATTAGATATATGTTAACATTTAAAAATTTGTCTTTAGTTTTTACTCCAGATTTTAAATAACTATTTTCTATGGACAGTTCTAAAATAAAATGTACATTGCTGTGTGGCACTTCAGCAGCTTATTCTCAATCATTATTATTTGAAGTGGGTGATATATTTTTATTTTTTTTATTACAAAGAAAATTAATAAATCATTATCATAAATTATAATACTAATTAATGTACCTAAACTTCATARTTATAACAAACAATTTGCATACTTCTTGCGAAGTTAGTTAGCATTATCTACTTTTGATGTACCTATACGTCTAAAATCATAAATCTCCTTAATTAATAAACTAACATTTTACTAATTGATAATCTTTCTGGTCTGGCTCTACAGTATCCAACTTAGGTAATCAGCAAAGTCTTCACACACCAATACCTACAAATACAATTTATCCTAGTCTCCGCCTAATTACCTCTGCCCCTTGGTATATAACTAACAAATATCTAAATCTATCTACCTTCAATGCTTAGCAAAATCCCATTAAATAAAACTTCATTCAAAGCTCCATTCTCATTCCAATCCTCTAATCAAGAAAACTATYATCTCCCACTTTCATCTCCAGAAAATTAAAGAGACAACAGCTCGGAGACCTGTTAAAACCGTCATAAAATAATGAATACATTTTTCAGGTRTCACCGCTAGGAGCCTTTCTTTTAACATTAATAATTCTCATTTGAAGTACTCATCACACTTAAAATCTAAAGCATTTTATGTTTTGCAAATCTGTAAATATTAATGTTGTTGTTTTGTTTGTTTACAATACATAGAGCGCTGTATACTGGTCTGAATTTGGATATCGAGTGGTTTACATTCAAATATCTCAGATGAAATCTCTACCAATTCCATTAGATGGAGCCAAACCGCCTAGTGTGCATGCACTGAATCGCATTACATTCCTGTAATTAAATTGATCAATAATTTGTTAATTTCTAACAATTTTTTWATTTAATTTTGACGTTAAACCACATTTATTAATTTTTCATACCTAGAACATTGTCACAGTGGGAAGATCTTGTCAAATACACTTGTTCAATACACGAAACTAGTCCAAATGTGCCACATGTAATTTTAGTATCAGACTTGAATAATTACTATAGGAATGAAGATAGTGATCAAACTACAAGACTAGCACACATGCTATGTGCTTGTTTGTGTGATGCCATTTCATATTGTAGTAAAGTACATAATTCTACATCATATTTAACTGTTTCAACACAAGACACTGCACTTGAAACACATAAATTATCTGCGATGTATTTCCCGTCAAGTACATGGATTAGCAGTGTTGTTGATGATAAAGTAGTTTTTTGCAAAAAACAACTGTATTTACAGCAACATCATAGCTGTAATATAAAGTTTATCAAGGTGAACAATAAACTAAGATGTGATTCTGTAGAAGTATTGTATATGTGATATTTTTGTTACTGTACTTGTTTTTTAATTGTTTTGTTTCTTATTTTTCTTTGCATAATTTATACATTGAAACCATTCAAATATTTAAAT